AACGGCCCGTGACCCTCGCCGTAGATGGTTTTGGAGCGTGTCATTGAAGCAGTGGCGTTTGTTCGGCCATGGTACGATCCTTGCATAACGATGATGTTGGGCTTCTTGGTTGCAGCGCGTGCCAGTTTGACAGCTGCTTCAACTGCCTCAGCTCCAGAGTTCCAGAGAAAGACGGTATCGAGAGACTGGTGCGGGAGAATTGGAATGAGCTCTTTGATGAGCGCAATTTGTGCGGCGCTGAACCCAATGTTGACTTGTGCGTGGGTGATTTTGTTGCATTGTGCAGCTGCGGCCGCACTGACTTTGGGATGACAATGACCGAGGTTTACAACGCCAATGCCGGCAGTCATATCGAGGAGCTTGACACCCTTGTCTGTCGTGATGTATGTGCCTTTTCCATCTTCAAAAACGTGCTTGGTGAGACGGCCAATGCCTCTCGCAATGTGCTGCTCTCCGAAAGCCGCTGTATCCATATCGGAGGATGCTGGGTGTGTTGTAGAAAATAAGCGGAGAGGTGTTCGAATAGGTTTCGCAACGACTGGCAGAAGGTTACGAGGAGCTGACAAGCAAACTCTGGAAACGACGGCGGCCTTCATTATGTAGTCTTGTGGAGAAACACTAAATGAGTCTGCCTTGAATCAATGTTCTTGATAGAGGGGTCGGCTGGACACGGTTTGACGTAAGGTAAGCCAGGATCTTCCTCCGTACGTGTGGCGCTAGACGCCCTACACGCGCTCATGTGATCGCTTAAACTCTCCATATTCGTCAAAGCACTCGCAGAAGCTTCTTCGCTAACTCGTTCAAAAATTTGCAGGAGGCCGTCTTGCCAACAACTCAAATATGTGTCTTTCATTCGTTTGATCAAAAGCCAAAGCATGGGCCGTGATGTACAGCGATAGATTTCGGTGTTACGTAACATAGAGACGCCGCCGGCGATTAAGGCGCATATGTGTATGCTGCAACACATGGCAGCTTGATAGGTCATCTTAGTCTTATAATATGCCCACACCTTTGAGTAGATACACGAAATCTCAAAGTGGTAAATAACGGGAGTTGGCGGCCTTTGCCTTGTCAAGGACTTCTCATAGCCGTGGACTGTCGGCCTCGGGTAACCTGCCATCAAAGATGACTGCAGCCCTTGCCACTCTGGCTGATGCATGCCACATAGCTGCGGGATAATGACTCCCGTCTGACTACTAGCAATACCAGTGTGAGATATACGAGTGTCCTGCTGCTCGCTCGCAGGTAGAACCCATGGTCCCATAGTTCTTCTTCTCCACTTGTGATCGGCTATACATAATTCTAGTGGTTCCCGCTCCATGGCATCACTGGATTTGATTTAGGTCCAGTGACAGTTGATGTGACAGAAAACTTGGTTTCCTTGATGATATTCTTCTGACTGTCTCCATCGCTGTTGTCGCATTCGTCGTTGTCGCCAAGCGTCTGAAAGTTATCCATGGGAATCCCGCGCGAACGTGATGGTGGTTGCAGGTGGTGAGACCCTGATGGATATGCCCTTCCCGACGTAGCACCGGGAGTATTCGAGCCTACGCTTACTCGGATGCGAAGGGAAAGGAGAGGGCGAAGCGCGGGGAGAGATCCGGCAATAAGGCCGATTCCTTCTTCAGTAAGGGACCAGAAGCCAATCTTTCCAGTGCTGAACATGAATTCACCAGGATCGCTGTAGAGGGTGAGGTACTTGAGCCTGACGATTGTGGCTGTCGAGGCACTAAGCACAGTTAGATAGGGATATGTAACTGGAGATTGTGCAAGGGCCTTACAAAGAAGCAAGTGCGAGCATTACTACGACCGAAGCCTTCACCCTGGTTTTCATCTGTACATTCCATAGCAGAATTGCTGGTAAGATTGAGAGACTAAAGTCTGCCGCAATCTCAATAGCTGAGTAGAACAAACTGACGTTCGTGTTGAGTTGGAGATTGCATACACCATTGGATTCTCCCCACAACGTGTTGATAGGATGGCCTGGTTGGATCAGTCAAACTTCTTCGTCGACCCAAATCCCCATTTACTCACAGATGTTTGCAATGCCGATACAAAACACAAGCGCAGCAACGATACAGGCGCCAATGAGAACCCATAGTCCCCATTTGATGAAGTCTCGGGTAGCAGCGATACGTAGCAGCGCTACCGCAACACTGACCTTGATGAACATGGCACTGACGCAGTAGAAATACTCAGCAATGTAGAAGAGCTACATTTAGTTAGCCACAAGGTTATCTTGTTGTCATTGCCGGATGCCTCGGATACTCACCTTTATTCCTATTGCCATGGTCGCGGGAGGCAAATCGCGAGAGAATTGCCCAGACCCGTAAAAGCAGCATACTATACAAAGGGCGGCAGTGACTGTGAAAAGAAGCTGAAACGTCAGTAAGCAAGAGTTCGTACTGAAAGTTGGTTCTATAGACTTACAATACCAAGCAACATCAGATAATCGTCCATACCCCATGCTTTCCTCCATATCCTAACTCCAGCACGCAAGAAGAAAGTGACCCAGGTCAACGCCAACAATACAATAGCACAATAGAGAAGTGCCACACCATCACCTGCCACCGGAACGGTCGCCATGACTGCAACTTGACGTAAATGAGCGTGAGAGAGGCAGAGGACCGACAGAACCAAAGAAAAAGCGGATACAAAGGAGTATGGAGCAGCTCCCCAGGAAATGTATTAACAAAGACAAACGGTTTGGCTCCGGTAATATGGTACGTAAGAGTCGTTTTGATTCCATCTTGCCCCTGTCTCGACGCGAGTATTTGGCCAGACAAACATGCATTTCAAAATCGCTTCCAGGCCTGAGACGTTACTACGCTAAGCTGTGAAAATCTTTCCTAAAGTGAACCTCACTACTCTCAATATGATACTCAACTCCGGCAACTACGGCAGGACCCATAGGTGTCGGGCCGGCTGGATGGTAGCACAACGGCGTGATCTCGACTACTGAGTCGCGTAAATTTAATGCCGTATGCAACAAATCCTTCTACGCCACCATGATTGGCTCTTCGTATGTATGCAGCTTTCCCCCTGAGGAGCTTGACCATGGCTTGTCTAATACGTCTGGGATTTTTCAGCATTTGCAATGCCATTGTTTGGGACGTCGGCGTGCAGATCCTATGCAAGTCGCTCAATCGGGCCATGAGCATTTACTTGCGCAGTTCCCACGCGGGCTCGGCGGTTCTGGCTCCGGAAGTACAGTTCCACCCAGGTTACACTCACCACCACACCTGGGGTGCACCAAGAGAGACCCCTCGCAGTAACCCAGAATAACGCTTTGAGACTTCAGGATAAGAGTGCACTGTCATTACAAACGGTGCGGGAGCAGGCAGGCGACACCATGGCGATGTAAAAACTGTGAACTCAATAGGCTAGCCTATGATTCACAGCACATGGCAAGCGGGTCGCCTCCTGCTCTGCCGTGTTAAACTGGGTCTCCGACGGCGCCACCATCCCAATTTGGACCTCTTCCTTGAAATTCTCCTACTGGTCTGTCAACTATGTTTGAGAAAACGTTTCTGGCCTCAGGGTGGCAGCAGCTTTCCTTTGCCTGCGCTTGTGCTACCCAAATCTGTCTGCTCGTGCATATACGGTATGGCCCGAGTTGGTTGCATATCTTTCCTTGGATCTCCCGTTGTCTATGTTCACATCCGCTCACCTGCATCAAACACAATTATCCACAATGGCTTCCTTTGAAATCAATGACTCCGACCTCACCGGCTTTCAGGGCAAAGTCGCCATCATAACGGGTAACTAACGCTCCACCCAATCACACAGCTTGAAGCCAGGCAACTAACCTCTTCGCCAGGTGGGTCTTCTGGCATTGGTCTGGCAACAGTCGAGCTGCTGGTGTCTCTAGGCGCCCTAGTTGTGAGCGGCGACATTCAGCCACCACCGGTGTCAAACGCCAACTGCCACTTTGTTCAAATCGACGTCAGAAACTGGGCAGACTTGACCAAGCTTTTCAAGGCTGCCAAGGAGAAGCATGGCAAAATCGACTTTGTTTTTGCCAATGCCGGAATTGGCCCGCGCGCAAACTACCTGGCTCTCGAGGTCGACGAAAATGGCGATCCAATTGAGCCCAATCAAGACACAATAGACATCAACCTGGACAGTGTTGTCAAGACTGTCACAATCGCTGCGCACTACCTCAAGACTCAACCGGAAGGTGGATCCATTGTCATCATGGGGTCCAGCACGGGACTGCACCCAGTTCGCGCAGTCGACTATTGTAAGCCACATCCAACTCGCCGATCCTGTCCAGATCAACCTACTGACGGCATTCTGCAGCTACGGCCAAAGCCGGTGTTCTAGGTTTCGGCAGGAGTTTTGCGCGCCTAGTCGAAGTAGCTGATCTACCTATTCGCGTTAACACTCTTGCCCCTTCATGGACGGCAACCCAAGTCTTGCCTGATTTGAAAAACCTACTCGCTGCCGTCTCCCATGACTGCCAGACACCTGACGTAGTAGCTCGTGCAGTTGCTTACTTGATGGCTGATAAGTCGAGGCACGGCGAGCTTATTTTCGCTAGCAACGGCAAATACACTGAGATCCAGAACACTATTCTTGCGCCAGCGTATGAAGCCATCAAGGGTGATGATCTCAGTGATGACGCTGTCTTGGCCAAGGTCATGGCTCTTGCTGGTTAGAAACGCATATCATGTCCCTTTTTCCGATTCGCTTAGTTTACTACTCTTGAAGATACCAAATTAAATAAATAACTAACTTCGTCTGCAATCATGATTCAGTGCGACGCCCCGTTGTCGAAACTTAATCTCATTGTTTACCACTCTAGCTGCTAGTGCCTACATCCCACGTGCGGAGAAGAAAAAGCAATAGTTATACCCCACAGATAAATGGAGATGGTAGATAGCAGAAACAATGCAGATCAATTCACTGCACCAACGCGGGCAACGCCAAGGGATTGTTCTACGGAGCATAGCCCTTGTATAAACGTTCTATTCTAATAGTCAAATAAGAGGATATTGTTAAATACCCTCTTTTCTAGTTACGCTAGATACCGGCATATTCTGCAGATGCCAGTTCTCACCTGTTTGTTGCAACTTTATACAAGTGCCACGCGCCTCCAACTCTACTTGGTCTAAACTGTGCATACGATTCGACGAATTTGTAGCCTCTAGTAAGACGAGTGGCGAAGACTTCCACAGTGGTGTATCAGCTTTGCTCGATGTAACGATGGTGGAAAAGAGGAAAAGCGTTATGGTAAGGTATATCGCGAGTGGGGGCGACATCCAGTAAAAAGTGACGTCGAAGAATTGCTCTTTGGTCCACTCGATGCCTTGGTGGGGAACTGCGTTTTTCCCGGTACGAAGGCTGGTTCGCCATATCAGTACAGAACAGATGGGAATAAGGACTCTGGTGTAGCTTACGTATTGCTCATCGAGATGGCAATGTTGTTCATCCTTCGTTCGAAGCCTCCTTTTACAGTCGATCCGTTACAGTACGCTGGGCTGTCGCCGAGGACGTCTGTAACAATATTAGGGGCAAGTTGACCGGTAAAGCTATAGTTGGCCTCGTTGGGATATATAGCGGCTGCACCGGTGAGTGATTTTGCCATCAGGTATTCCCATTCGGTGATGTCCGTATCGCCCACGCAATATTCCTCATTGTCCTGGCCCGTAACGCAGTACCGGTATTGGCTATCATTCGAAACTCCTGGCTTTATTTGCCAGTCTAGGTCGATCTGCGTGTCAATGACCTTGGTCTGCATCGTCAAGTTATAGGTAGAATTCAGTGTTTGAAGACATAAAATCAAGCTGCCTTGGAAACCTTTCCAGTTAGCCGCATCGTCCCTCTGACCTACCCAATCTGCTCTTGGGTTGCCGTTGTGATCACAAGGAGGATAGTAGGCAACATATGTGGTTGAGATGTTCCGTAGGGGTGCATAATTCTCTGCACGGGCATCCGGATCCTGCGTATCAATCTGTGTGTTCATCCAGAATGTTTCAGATATGTTAACGCCCGTTTGATCCCGGCTCCAGGACTCTGGACCGACATAATACATACGTGAACCATCTGGAGAATAAGGCCCAGGCTCATCCATGGCTCCGTCTGCGGAAATGTCTTCAACAAAAGAGCATACTGCAAGCGTTTGATACGGTTCCCAGGTGCAGACTTCGGCTTGGCAGGATCCTATGACATCCGAAGGGCTTGAAACGTCATCAAGTATACCCGCAAGTATGCCTTTAGACATGTGTGGATGATCTGAATACCATGAGCTTAACGAGAGAAGTAAGTTACGGCACACTAACACATAATAGAAATTCGAGATTGAGAATCCAGGTCGTATTCCACAAAACTTGCATTGGTGGCGTCATTGACGTATTGTACCGAACGGCCTATGATGGCACTTGTAGGCGAGGAGATACCATTGGTGCTCCTTACTTCAATCGTAACCGATTGCTGAGCAAACGGCGAAAAGCCAAGTAGTAAAATAGTCGCGATTGCTCCGACGGACACTAGATGTCTTACGTCGTGAGCTTCTCAGGAATTCCGTTGCAGGCAGGCGGAGGAATACTTACGGACGAGTGCTCAAAAGTAACATGAGACTGCCTCGGGGCCCGCGAGAAGCCTCTTCGAATCTACTGATATCGAGAGTCGAACGCTCATTACGCAGATACGACCATTTAAGTTGACCGATGCAGGCTGATACCGAAACAAGCAACGCGGACTGTGCGACCTGTGAAAGAGCGGCGATAGTAGTAGCCAAGCTGAAACCAACTGGCCAATTCTTGACCGGCTTATCTCTGTAAAGAATGAGCAGCGTGATAATTGCGCCGAGCGCTGTCGTCCCTAGCAGCCATGTGGCAAGCTCCCACTTCCAGGATCGTAATGAAGTCCATAATGGTCTTGATGGGCGAGGCTGGTGCTCATCATCTTCCATAGGAGTGGAAATTCGTGACGTCAGCTCTCCATGGACTGGCGAATACCCCATTGCTCAGTAGGCTGAAAAGAGCATAAGACAGGATAAACCTGATAGATGGGCGAGACCGTCAAATATGTACTCAAGTAGTTAACAGAGCCAATCAAAACCGTGGTGGCTGTGACTATTATCTAGCGTCCTCGGGGCGCAGCCAATATATGCATATCAGCCGCATTCATGACTTAGCAGCCTGGCGAATCGAACGATTGTATTGCCTCCATCTGGTTGCACCCGCGGGTTCATCAAACTGAACATTAGCCCAGCCCAACGAGCGAGGCACTTCGCTTGTTACTAGCGTACTATGGCAAGCACGTCGCGCTGGCAGCTGGCAACGTAGGCAACGCGTACTGGTCGAAGAACAAAAATATATAGCAGTTCCCTGTGAAGCTAGATCAGCTTATAGACAATGTCATGTTCGAGCCGCGACAACGGTCTTAAAGGAAAGCTAGAGTGAATACTGACCCGGACAGCGCAGACTGAGAACATAGAAGGGTGCATACACAGAACTGGTTGACACTAGCCAGACACTAGCCAGACACTGCGCACGGCCACCTACTAACTAACGTACCACGTGCGTGCCTTTCTGTGTAGCTGAAATTTTGGTGGGCCAGAATGAACCAAAGAGAGCAGGTGTTTCGGCACAATGCTGTCTTTGATTGGCGGATTCCCGCTCACCGGGTTTTGCGCCACATAGAAAGAGATGTTATTTAAAATAGGTGCTTAAAAGCAGTCCACAGGCACGGTCTTAAACTCTCTTAGTACGCTATCGTCGTGCGTCAGGGCTATTCCTCGTTTCCGAAGTCAGTATAGCGTTGAATTTATTATAGTCAAAGATGTAGATATGTTTACTGATACCTATTCTCTAATCCTCTTTCCAAATCCTGTAGTATCCCTAGATCCAAACATTACCTCGTAATCAGCTCTACCACTCTAGTATTCAACACGCTCCATAATCTACTTCTTAGCCTTCTTCCCAACACTACCCCCTACATCCCCACCCTGATCCTCATTCCCATCCCCACTCGCCTCCTCAATCCCCCTCTTCACCCCCTGCGTACTCGGTATATTCTCCATGTCAAAAAGCTCATACCTGTCCTTCATCCTCCATGCAATAATGCCAGGCAGCAAATTATCGTACTTATCCTTCCTAGTAAACACTTCTCGATCATTTATCCAAATCTTCCTCAACCGCTCAGGCTGCTCTTTTTCGAATTCTACGCCTGACAGCATTTGCAAAATTGCGCGAACGGAAATACCATCTTCGGTGGCTTTGCTACCGAGGTGGTAGGCGTTGATGCGTTCGATGTTTGCGTGGCGCCATAGAAAGAGGATTTCCGAGGGGACTTCGGATGTTGAGGCGAAGTCAAGGGGCGCGGTGGTTATACCTTCTGGGTATTGGAGTATTGAGATGCGGGTAGGGCGGGCAGGGGCAGGGGTTGGGGTGGTTCTAGGAGCGGGTTCAAGGGCGGCTTTAGTCGAGTTGTTGAATTCGATTACTTTGGCGGCTTCTTTCTGGATTTCGAAGGCGCGGAGGTAGGCGCCGTCTTTTGTTGGTATGTCAATGTAGTTCTCGAGTTGAGAGCGGATTTCGTCACGGAGATGCTTTTTAGATACTGGGTCTGCGGCGGGGGTTTTGGGGTCAAAGAAGTTGTCGTCAAGGATGTCTTCTTCGTCTGTTTCGATGAGGTTGATGATGCGTGCTTCTTCTGATTCGTCGTCAGCGATGCCTCCTCCCTCGTTCCCGTCTCCCCTATCGCTGTTATTGCCGTCACCACCTCCACTAGGACTCCTTCCTCCTCTATTTCCTCCTACATTTCCTCCTCTTCTACCACCACCACCACTACTACTACCCCCACTCCTTCGCCCCCGTCTCCTCCTCCTCTTCCCGCCCCCAAACTTATAGTCATCAAAATCAACCTTATCCCTCATCCCCTCCCACTCCCTCCACCTCGCCGCCACCAGCGTACCAAGAACCTTAGGCCTCAAAATCCCATACACCTCCTTCGACATCTTTAACGGCAGCTCCTCCTCCCCACGCAACTTCTCACTCTTCTCCTGAATAATCTCCTGCATGTACACCCTCGTTTTCAACGAATCAAACGCCATACCCTCGCAATTCCTCTTCCAATTCCCCACTTTGAACACATTATCGAAATCCACAAGGCGCCCCTTATTACTCAGTACGTACTCCAGAAACGCGATGAGATACGGTCCGCAACTTGCACCGCCATCGCTCTTGAACGCATTATGCTCTGATTGATTAGGAACGTATTTGACAGTTTTGGTATGGAAGGCTCCATCTTCGAGTCCTAAGACGCGCTCGACACCGCGGACCATGGTTGCAGCTACTGCACCCGGTACAAGCATATGATTGATTTTCATTCTACCAGGCTTATTCTCGCTGGGCACAAGACTAAGCTTGCCATCTACCCAGCGCGCAGTCTTCTTGCGCTTGTCAATGATAAGGAGACCGCAGTGACCACCGTTTGCCATCATATCCTTGGATACCGCATCGTTTCCTCTACTTCCGTTCTTGTCCTGTGCCTGACCCATCGCTCTGGATAACTCCATGAACTCTTCTTTTTGCAAAGTTCCATTGTCGACAGGTATAATAATCCATCTATGCTTTCTATCCCGCACGGATTTCAGTGGGTCGCCGTCATGATCCTCGTCAAACACGTACTCGGCATCGTGGCCACCGATGTCGTATAATATGCCGCCCTGGTACATTGGTAAGATGTATACATCGTTGCGGTGGTACTTGAGGGTTAGCAAGGCGAGGACGGTGTCGATACTGCTGGATTCGAGCCAGTGGGCGGGATCGTCGGAGTTAGTGGTCGTGATGTTGAGGTACTCGCGGACTTCGATTCTGCGGTCGAAGTTGTTGTAGCTGAATTTGAGAAGGGGTTCTTTGAGCCAGTTGCGGATGTGGTCGGTGTCTGTTTGGGTGGTGGGGGTGTCTTGAGTAATTTCGGCCATTTTTGTTGGATATTAGGGAGGAGGTCAGTTCGAGTCAAATGGGACTTGATAAGATAGTAATCAGTATGAGGGAGGAATTTTTTTTGGTTTACTCGAGAAAAATACCTCAAAGAAATGGATAAAGGGGCTTTTGTTCCTTTGTTGGAGATCAAGATGCACTTTCATGTTGGATTTGTTACATTGGAATTCTTTATCAAGGGTCTCGACACTGTAACTTGGTTGGAAAAAGTGTAACGACTAAATTTGAGAGTTGAGCGTCTTGTTCAGTCTCGTTGACACTTGACCATGTGATGTGACAAGTGACGCTCTTAATCATAACCCAATAACCCAATATCAAGATCAAAACGTAACCCCATCTCAACGCCTCGACCTACTGTAACCAGCTCTTCTCTTCTTCAGACCACATCTATGACCCCGTCCCCTCGTCCTAAGTTACCACATTCCGAGGATCCGTAAAAGGATTCATAGTCTCCTCTTTCCGCTCCGCCGGCTTACGACCCCTCGCATCCACCGCACTCTGTTGACAAGGAAGTCGGGAGCTAACTGAGAAAGCAGCAGGAGCCGGTACACTAGGAGCATTCGACGCAGAATATTGTCCAGCAGCAGCAGCATTTCCACTCGCAGTAGGTCTTCTCGAAGGAGCAAGATTCTGCAGTCCAATCGGGCGCTGTCGATCAAGTTGATTCATGCGCGCAGCAAAAAGCGCCATGAAAAAATATCCAATCATCCTGTCAAACCGTCAGCCCTTTTGTCTCCCCCCTCCCAACAAAACAAAATAAAGTAAAAAAAACAAACTTACGTGCAAGCCCCCATAACCCCAACCACCGCCCCACTAACCACAATACTCTTCGCCCACCACCCCCAACTCTCCAACGCGCGCATCACCCCATCATCCTTCCAGCAAGTCCCATACCCCTGGTTCACCTCACCCCCCGGCAACGTATCCAGCAAATACATCCCGAGCACATTAACCAGAAAATGCACCCCCAGCAGCACCGCAAGCCCCATGGCACACCGGTTCGTCACATGCGCAACGACAACATGGAGTCGAAGATAACAAGCCAGGATAGCAAGCAGGAAAACCGGGTTGAGAATGAGTGCCGCGATGACCGCGCTGTTTTCCACCGATTAGCCTTGTCTTCTCTCTCCCTCTCTTCCTCACCTGGAGCGCCCGGAAATACCAAATGCATAAAGAGGCAAATAGAAAATGGAGATAAAACTCACAACTTCCCCCCCTCCCCGCCCGGCATCCCCAAACTCAACCACATAGCCCCCTCCCACCCCTCCCTCCCTTCCAACCGATCCAAATTCACAAATGTAACCGGCAACTTCCTCGTCTTGACCACAAAGCTAAACGTATCCACCGAATCCCCAGGTTGAGGGCCTGGAGCCGTCTCGTCAACGTCCCAGCACTCGACTTCAAGGCGCATGGAGAGCAGTTTGTGGGCGAGGGCGGCGCAGAGACCGAGTTGGATGCAGGCGAGCAGGGTGGCGAGGGAGAGGAGTTTGATGGTGGTTGGGCGCGTGGGGCCCGGCCAGGAGGGCGAGGTGGCGGTAGTGAGGAAGGAGGTGCAGGTGCGGAGGGCGTGGATGGGGGTTCTGCGGGCCATATTTTTTTTAAGAAGAAGAAGAAGAAGATAGGGATTGATGGTGTTACTCGATGGAAAGTATTGAAGTGCGGGAATGGAGGTAGGAGGAATTGAGGGGGGATATGTGTTTGAGTGAAGAAGATGGATAGGGAACAAGTTACAATTACATTTCCCCCGCCTTTGGATGTGGTGGTAGTGGTGGGATGGGTACCATGGGCGTTGTATCGTCAACATCGTGAATGTTGGGGTAAAGGGTCTACATGTTCGAGCATCTGATTCGACTGCCCTCAATGTTGGTCAACGCAACCAGCGGAAAGAGAGCCAACAGGGCTGAATGACAACATGACACATGATTGAATTAGCAAAGAGGAACATATAATTAAGGGGGGGGAGGTATCAACTTGAATTTCAACTACATAAAAACATTGGGCTCGGGTGTGTGGGGGGTTGCATGTTTAGACACTAGGGAGGGAAACAAAGAGGCTCATAACATTGAAAACGAGATTTGATCGTAACCAAGAAGGCATGCCATGTTCACATGCGGCTGCGATAGGGTCGAGGAACAGGTGGCTGGAACAGCCTATCCGGCAAGCGGTTCCCATACTGATCGAAGCGGTAGTCCTCCTTTTGTTCAATCCACATCTGCCGCATGTCAGCCTCGAGCTGACATCTACAGCTTGCTACCATAGCGGGGAGCGTAGCCAGCCTTGTAACCACTCACCTCGCGTTCGGCGTACTTCCTGTCCAACGGCACTGGTTGCGGATTTAGTATTTCTTCGTCGCCAAAGCCTGGATCTCCTTTGAACCTACGGGCGTAGTGGGCTGCGCCAATAGGCTGAGGGGCACCGTATTCGGCATACTGTGCTCCATAGGGGCCGTACTGACCTGGGCGTTGATTGCGGGCGTTGCTTTGGTGCCAAGTTTCGCGCTCAGGAAGACGTTCCTCAAAGGCTTCGGCGGGACGGCCTAGGGGCTCCGGGTACAGGCGGTTCTGCTGGTACGTCTCGCGCGTCTCAATGGGATACTGGGAGCGGTAATGGTCCTGCTGCTCGAAGCGCTCATCGTAGTGGGACTCGTAGCGGGGGTCACGGCCGTGTTGTTCCCAGTGGGCATCGTGGTGGTGAGGAGGAGGAGGAGGAGCACGGCCGCGGTCATCGTAGTGCTGGGGGCCACGCTCGCGTTCATCGACATAGACCTCACGGTGTTCCTGGTAGTGGGCAGGCGGCTGGTGGTCGCGCTCAACCCAGACATCGCGATGTTCCTCAACACGCCTGGGAGCACCGGCATCGCGTTCAATGTAGATGTCCCGGTCAATGTGCGTCGTGTGGGTAGAGTGGTGGGCATGAGCGGGAGCGGGAGCAGGAGCATGAGCGGGAGCAGGAGGCGGAGGAGGAGGAGCCTCTTGATGAATCTCAATGTCGATGTGCGTCTCCTCCTTCTTCTCCTTGTCCTTCTTGGAATGCTTGGGCTTGTGGGGCTCCTCAATAGGCTCCAGAGTGGTCAAGTAGCCGAGGACCTCGCGGAGACTGTTGTGGGCAATTGCGAGTTCCTTTTCTCTGTTCTCAAGCTTTTCCTTCTCGCTGAGCAGCCAGTAAACACGGTGCCTCATGCCGACGCGGCGGCCATCCTCAATGTCGCCAGCGACGCGTTCAGTATGGGGCGCAATGTTCTCGAGGGCGCCGCGCACATCGCGCATGCAGCCGTAGACCCATTTGGATTTTTCGTGGTTGGCCTCGAGGATGTCGTGGATTTCGCGGACCGAGAGCAGACGGCGCACCTCTTCGAGATCAGAGCGGACGCGACCGATGATGCGCACGTAGACGGCGTTGGATGGACCGACATCACGCACCCGCTTGGCCTTTGTGAGGAACTCGGCGAGCTTGTAGGCGCCTCCGAGAGCGGTGGCAGCCGCGCCGAGGGTGACGAGGTCTCCTTTGACCATGGTGAACAGCAGGACAGGGCGAGGAAGCTACCGGGTTGGTGAAGTGAGAGATCAATTGAGTGAAGGAGTGCCTGCGTCTCTGCGGGTACCTAGCGCCAGCATGCCGCGCAGGTTCAACCGGCAGCAAGAAGTGGGGATGGGCGCTTTGGTGCGTGTGTGGTAGTGGTGGTGGTGGTGGAAGTTGGGGGAGTGTCAGTTCAGCTCAGCTCAGGGCAGGGCAGGGCAGGCCAGCTCTGACAGGGGCCGAGTGCTGGAGCTTTGGGGGGCTGGGGTTCTAGTCCGCTTAAGGCCATAGCCGCCTGCACCTCATCACCCAGAGCGACCAGCCCGAGGTCTAACCACCAGCCTTGCAACTGTTGTCCAACCCCACCGAACCGCTCGCCCTCCATCTTCTGCCCCCGGCGGTGCCACTGCGATCGTCTGCGGCCAGCACGCGCTCCGGGCTGCATGGGCTCGGTAATTGACGCGTTCAAGCCGGTGATTTGGCGTGGCTGTGGTGGTGGACGACGTGGTTGCGGTGGCCGTTGTTATACGAGCGTCTGTTGTTGTTGTTATTATTGTTGACACATCCTCCACCTCCTCGTCCTGGCTGGCTGATACACGCTTGGATCATCCCCGTTGCACCTGTCCTGTCAGCTCCACACCCTGGCAATGACAACACAACACTACCCAACGCCAAAACCTTGATTTCTGCTATCTGCCGTACTTTGCAACAAATGCCCGAACCTTGGCGTCGCTCAGGCTTAGCTCGTTGCCTTCTGCCTCTAGTAGCTCCCGGTCCTTGTCCTCGAGCTCCGCCTCCATCTTCTTCACCTGTGCGTCTACTTTGCCATTAGTCAGCCTGATCGTCCCGAACGGCGCGTGCTTGTAGAGAGCGGCCATGATGACATCCATGTCCCCATCGGCTTTGCTCGACCGCTCCGCCAGCTTCTCGTGCGTGCCCGTTGCCGACGATTCATAGTGTTCCTGCAGCTTCTTGCCGCGTTCCATCTGAGCCTGCATCAGCGAGTCCTGCAGGCTCTCAATCTTATCGTGGTTGAACGAGATGCCGGCGTGTCGAAGCGCATCTTGCAGCGCTACCGGCAGATCGAGTGCATTGTTGGGCCTAAGCTTGACCATGGGCGTGAAGGCTGCCACGGACGATTTGGCTCGTTTGTGTGCAGGTGTCGGTGCAGGTGCCACATCCATGTCGGGCATGCGCTTTGCAGCTGCGGCTTGTACATGTGCCAGTGCTTGCTGGAATTCGTCGTCTTCTTTTGTCTTTGCAGCGACGGTATCCAGCCGCCTGCCCATGTATTCAAGCGTGCACAAGACCTGCCAACGTTAGTGACTCCCAATCACTGCCCAAAATGGCACTTACGTAGTTGAGCCATGCACTTCGCGCTTGCCCCATATCCCTGTCCTTGCGTTCCTTGACATCCGCCATTGGCTTGCGAATCTCATGCTCAACAACCATTGTCGCGACAGAAGCAATTTCTGAATGCAGTTCCTCCAGTTCTGCTTGCAAAACTGCTTTTCTTTCCTTGAGCTCGGCCTCTGGTTCATCAGAAGTCCCGTTTTGCCCACCTCCAGTGGCGTGGGTCAGGTATATGGTGTCTACGCGCGCCTTGATTTCAGCAGTACGAAAGGAAATAATGGCCTTGCACCACTGCTCAACCGAATTTTCGTCTTCGCTGGCCTCTGGCTCCGTCATGATCTGGGATACTAGTCCAGGCAGTTTGCTCAGGATTTGGTCGTCGGACGCAAATCGTTCCGAGAGGTAGCTCTTCAGCGTAGACTTGTCGGCCTCGCTCTCCCGCTGTGCATCCGCCAACTGCTCAGTAATTGATGTAGCAACATCATCCACCTATACTGATCAGTACCGGGCCATTTCTCCTCAAATGGCAGCTTACAGAAACATCGAGCCTTGCCTTCTCTTGACCCTCCTTCCGCTTTCTTTCGTTCCGCGCATGTTCAACATCCAGATTAGGCTTGTCAAGCGCCTTCAGCTTCATCAACGCATCCTTTTGTGCCTCAAGCACCTTGCACTGTGCTTCAATTGCACTAGTCGAGCTCTGCAAAGATTCAATAGCTGAGGCAATTTCGTGGTCCAGGATGGGTCTTGAGGGTCCACCCTCACCCTCATACTGATGCAACAGTCCCTTTTTCTTTAACGTCTGGTACCTGGACTTCGAATCAGTAAATACCGCTTACATCGATTGTCACACCTACAGCTCCAACTCCTCCCTTGTCAGTAAAGTGTCTTGATGCAGGTATTCCTCGATCCATGCTGCGGCTTTGTGATTTGTATCCGCATCTTCGAAGCTCAGGAGGATTTTGTCCAAATCAACCTTTAGACCTCTTTCCTCTACTACGTTCAGTAGGTGGTGAGCGGCTTGCTCCTCCATGGCTCTAGGTTGTGTAGTGCTGGTCGTTGTGTGACAAGATGCGAAAGCAGTTAGGCCGGCTACGTTCGATACAGCCGACGGAAGTGACCAATTGCGCAGTCGCGTTTTCGAGATTTCGACGCGCTCAATGACCGCATTCTAAATGTGCTAAAGAGCCATTTCCAAACAACTCATACCAAACCCACCTACTCCACTTCTAGTCACAATGACTGCCACAACCATTGACCCAGAAACAAGTCCCCAAACTCAAAAACCCCCTCCACCACCCAGCAACCCCGCGCACGAAGAGCACCAATACCTCTCCCTCATCCGCGACATTCTCCAAAATGGCGAGCACCGTCCCGACCGCACCGGCACCGGCACCTACGCCATCCCCTTCCCCGCCCAAATGAAATTCGCCCTCTCGCACCCCTCCGCCGACCCCACCCAACCACCCCAACTCATCCTACCCCTCCTCACCACCAAGCGTGTCTTTCTCCGCGCCGTCATCGGCGAGCTCCTCTGGTTCATATCCGGCAGTACACACAGCAAGCCCTTATCAGACGCCGGCATCAAAATCTGGGACGGCAACGGCAGCCGCGCCTACCTCGACAGCGTCGGCCTCTCGCACTACGAAGAAGGCGAACTGGGCCCTGTCTACGGCTTCCAATGGCGCCATTTCGGCGCTGAATACAAAGGTCACGCACACGACTATACTGGCGAAGGCGTTGACCAGCTCGCTGAGATAATCGACAAGCTAAAGAACAAACCGTACGACCGGAGAATCATCCTGTCCGCCTGGAACCCCGCTGATATCAAGAAAATGGCCTTACCGCCTTGCCACATGTTTGCCCAGTTTTACGTTAGTTTTCCGGGGCACAAGCAAGGCGAGGAGCGGCCGAGGGGCGTGCTACATTCGCTGCTGTACCAGCGCTCTTGCGATATGGGACTCGGTGTCCCGTTTAATATCGCGTCGTATGCGTTGCTGACGCATATGCTGGCGCATGTGTGCGATTTGACACCGGGAACTTTTACGCATACGATGGGGGATGCGCATGTGTATCTTGATCATGTGGATGCGCTCAAGGTGCAGGTTGAGCGGGAGCCCAGAGAGTTTCCTGAACTGAGGATTAAGAGGGAGATAGGCGGGAGTATAGATGGGTGGTTGGAAAGTGAGTTTGAGGTTGTGGGGTATAAGCCGCATGCGAGTCTTGCTATGAAGATGAGTGTGTGAGCGGATTTCGGTTCTGAGTACTTTGAAGAGGAAAGATGGGTAACTATTAGATGATATAGATATGAATCATGCAATTGACGTTAATTTTCCTTTCGCTTTTCTCTTCTTTTCCCCCTCAAAGAATTTATCCGCTTCAGTCTTACAAAATGCATACACACACACGTACACGTATATATATATGTATAAACAATAGCCAAACGCTTTCAAATGCCAGTCACAAATCATCAAGGTATCATATCCTCCCTCTCCCCCCCCTTCTCCCCAGAAAAAAATCCCTAAGACTATTACACGAAACGTAAAAACCGGCCCCGATTTAACTCGGCAACTCTTGCGGCTCCCCCACATTATGCGCATACTTGATACTCCCGGGTAACTCATTCGTCTGCCCCGGCGTATACATTTCCGCCCTGCTCCCTTGGGCCCCTCCATCATGCCGATAATAGCTCTGGTCCGCATCATGCACAGGCACCGATCCGTAACCCGCTGTCTGCGCATCTTTCTCCACCGCACCCTCTTTGCTAGCTTTACGCTTGCGCCACCAGAACACTGCGAAGATAAGGGCGGCGAGAATGGCGATGCCGCCGACGACGGGACCGGCGATCCATGCTTTGCTGCTGCTTCCGCCGCTGGAAGAGGGGGAGTTGGGGGAGTTAGGAGAAGAGGGGTTTGAAGGGGAGGAAGAGGGGATGTCGCTGTCGGATAGGACGGCGTAGCTGGAGGTGGAGAGGTCGGAGATTATGCTCGAGGTGTTTTGCAGGTAGCAGTTGTTGTATCCGCTGTCGAGGGTGGATGAGAATAAGACGGCTTTACATCCTTTGTCGCTTGCAGCGCAAGCATCCATGCAAGCCGTCATGTTGTGCGTGTGGAGGTTCGTGATGTTGCGTCCTGGATTCGTTTTGCCGCAGTGAATATCAAAACGCGGTTTGTCACCGACAGTGGCTTGGTATGTATTTTGCTCCGGGCACTTCTTATCTGGGATGTCGAATTCGACGATTTCGGCGGCGTGGATAACGCCTTGTTTTGCCGTGGGACTGATGAATTTGGGCGAATTGCCATATTTGGGCTTGCAATTTGCGTAGCCGGCGGTGAGATCTGGGTTCCAGGATACGGCGCGGCAGAGGGGGTGTAGACCGGTGCAGATTTTGACGCATTCTTCGAGGGTTTCGGTGTGGTAGAAGGCACGGTAGTTCGGGTCGAAACAGTCGAACTCTTCGAAACAGCGCGGTGGCTCGTCGATTACTTTGCCGCAGTGTGTTGTGTATGTTATGCCCTCAACGCCCGAGAGAGGCTTGTCCGACAAGTCTGCATTTGGGCACTTGGTATCAAAACCTTTCAACTGGTTCCTGTCTATAAGGAGGCCGGTTATTGCTTCTGGTGCGGGTGTAAGGGCTTCGGTGGAGACATTGCTCGTTTTCAGCCAGCAGTGATTGCCGGGTAAAGTCCAGGTGATACCGTAACACGCATCGCCTGAGAAGCGCGAGCAGTGTTCCATACATTCATCCCAAGTCGCAGTGTAAAACCAGACTCCTGCCCCGGTTGTTTCTCTAACCGCATCTACCGTCTGTCAGCCAAAGACCCTGTCGAAAGGCATGATACATTCTGGTGCTCACCGCTCAAGGGAGCATTCTGCTGGCAGTATAGTTTGAATGCGAGTCCATTCTTCGTTGTGTACTGTTCTTCGCAGTTTTCAATAGTGTCTTGCCGTATTGCGAGGTCGCGGGTGAGAAGGGTATCTGCCTGCGTGGAAGCTGCTAGCGCGTCAGTATACGAATTATTTGCCTAAACATTCAACAACAATCCAACGTACGTGTAGGAGTCGCAATGACGGCGCTTGCGCATACGAGCGCCAGCAAGCTCTGTCTCGCCAGGATCAACATGCCGTAAAGATCAGACTTCTTGTGGCGTCCTCGACGACGACAACGACAGTACCGAGAGGTTGAGATAGCGAAATCGCAAACCACGCGCAATTGCGAGCTTGGAGACAGTCCGGAAGATAGTTTTACAGGCACTGCACCAAGAGGAGGGCAGTGCTGCCTCGTCCAAGCAGCACGATAATAGCCAGGCCCGTTAGGCGTCCATTGGTGGGTACAACGCCCATAACGGCCCCCAAAACAGAGCCGCCGTCGTCCCGACACTGCCCCCAAATTTACATTGCAAATAACATGCCCTTACTCATGCGCAGCCGTCTCAGCCAATACATTGCGCAGGGTGTTGGGTCTTCCGGTCTGGTGCTGTTGAGTTCGCAACCTGCATCGCCCTATTGCATCCTCGTCGTCCCTGAGCTTGTACGCATTGGCTACGGCTTGTTCCGAGATGCTATCATTCGTTTCCCTCCTCCAGGCCTTCCATAGCTTTGTCTGGTTTTTCTCAAGATTTGCACTGTTAGACACGAAAATGAACAGGGTTTTGCGGTGTGCATATCCTGTCCGTTCTAGGGAGATTGGTGTGGTGCTGCCAAGACACGCTGGCAGGCGGAGCAATGGTATCCTTGTCGTCCACCTCAACTGCGACTCGGAATAGAGCTACACGGTAGCTGTGATCCGATCACTCTCCCCGTCGCCTTATTCCCGTGTTAAGCATGTTGGAAAGTTACATGATGGGGCTTCAACTACAGAAACGATCAAATCACGTGCATACGGGCAACCACGACAACTTTTAGGCGCTCTCGCCATAGCTGGTGTACACAAATACTCTGAGTTGACAACAAAGGGTTGGATTACCACGCTGCTTTTGCAGACAACGACTTGGTATCTAATGCATCCTGAACGCCCGCCATTATTTTTCCCAGCCTGCAAACCAATAATGCAACAACGCGGAACATTACAAGTCTGCTTATCGGTGGCTGGTCTTTCCAATACCACGCTTGCCGGCAGTCTAGATTGTTGTTAGTAGATGCTTTTGTACTCCCAGATAAATCACAACTTACCAGGTGCTTGATCAGAGAACCTGTCTGGTGCCTGTCAGCCTCACCCTGTCTGGCCATCCTGTTCATCTTCTTCTGCGACAACTTGGCCAGCTTCTCCGCCTTTGAAGCAGCCTCAGCATCCGTAACACCGTCGTTCCTTCTGTTGGTACTCTGACTGCGACCACGGCTCTTCGCACGCTCAAGGGCCGACTTGGGTGTATCAATATCCATGGCATCGCCGGGAGCCTCTGATCGTGAACGAGCCAAGCTGCGTCCTCGTGCTTCTGCTTGAGCCTGTGCACGCTCGACAACCTTTGTAGTGTCGTATCCAAGGCTCTCGAGGTGCGATTCCATTTGCGACATTTGCTTCGCTTTCTTTGTCCTGGGAATAATAGCTCTATTCTTCAAACTCTTGCGCATCTTGGCTTCGTTCCTGATGAGTTGCCTCTTCTCGCGGATCAGCTCTGCCTTGTACCGGAAGTCTGCCTCCTCTGCGTCTTCAAGATCGTCGTCCGACTCGTAGAAACCCTCCTCCTCCAACTTTTCTTCTTCAGCCTCAAGCGCGGCAAGCTTAGCCTCAATGTCAGGGTCAATGAAGTCGTAGACGTTCTGGCCCTTGAACACCTCTGGAATACGGTCGTGTTTCCATTCATCATCCTCAAGAAGATAGTTCTTGCGAAGATCAATGTTGTACACACCAGCTCCGCCATTCTCCTCTTCCAGATCACGTTCAAGGATTGGTCTATCAGGATCATCCTTGTCGTACTTCTTCTTGTTCAGTGCTGCTTCTGGAATAAAGGTCTCACGGGTCACGCCACCCAATGGTTGAGCAACGTGGATTCGGCGCAACAGCTCACCAAGACGGCCAGACGGCTCACCAGCGCTGTTGGTTCCAGCCTTGAGCTTCTCTGCGTTACGAGCAGCAATCAAACGATCGCAGACTGCGTTTCGCACAGCCATGACACCCTCGGTAGTACTACAAGAAAGCTCCAGCATCTCTACCTCGCCAGACTTGAGCATGCCCTGTAGTTGAGCCTGTGTTTCAGCATCAAGCTGGTCGGGACGCATGAGATCGATCTTGTTGATTACAATGGAGATGAGCTTGTTCGCGAACAGAGGCTTGATGTTGTTAAAGAGGGCGATCTGCGAAGCAACCGAGTAACCACACTGCTCACTGAGATCCATAAAGTAGAGAATGTGAGCGCGAAGATGGGCAATGGCGCAAATGGACTGATGTTCGATAGTGTTCATCTCCTCAAGCGCATGGTCCAGAATACCAGGAGTGTCAACCGCCTGGAAGCGAAGCATCTTGTAATCGAAATGACCGACATACAAGCTCTTGGTGGTGAAAGCATATGGCTGAACCTCAACATCGGCCCTGGAAATGGACTTCAAGAAGGACGACTTGCCGACGTTGGGGAATCCGGAAATGACAAGTGTGCGGGTGTTGGGGTCGATCGAGGGAAGACGACCCAAATGCTGCCTAACTTGCTCGAGGTAGACAAGAGGATCCTTCAATCGCTTACAGATTGTAGCCATACGACCAAGCGCAGCCCGCTTGAGCTGCTTGCACTGGAAGAGAGACTGGCCATATTTGAGAAGACGCACATAGTCACGCGCAACCGTCTCAATCAGTGACTTTGCAGTCGAGAGCTGACCAAGAGCAATACGGAAGTGGTCTGCATCGTAGAGGGTGTTCAAGAGGTCGCGGTGGAACGGGTGGATGTCCTGCAGGCGCGGGAATGCGTCGATGGTGGTGGTGAGGCGCTCGACGAATGTCTCGGATGTGAATTTAACCTTTCGCGTGTAGAAGGCTCGAATTCTGCTAATCTTGAAACCCGCACGGATCTGGGTGGGCAGTCTAAGAAATTTTTCGTCAGCTGTCTGCTCTCGGGTGTAGTATGTAGCTGGCGTCTTGAAAGCGCAAATCTCGGCGCATGGGTGTGGTTTGCGCAGATGCAGATAAGATGGGTTGCCTACCTCCTCTGGGTCCTGGACAGCACAATGTCCAGGAACTCCTGGCTCGTAGGCACGGCGGGGATGTCCTTCCACTGGGTCTTCATTTTTGCGACTGCGGGTTTGTTGGGGTTGTGGACGCGGTCTGCGCTTCGAGAGGGAAGGGCTGGCAAAAAGTTCGAGGCGCTACCTATCGATACCAAAAAATATTCCCCCCCGCCAAGCGGCAGTTCGCCTCATGTGCGCTAGTGCCGCATTTAGACGCCCACCAACCATTGCAGCCCTAGGGACCCTGATTGTCATGCTGAATATCCAAGAACCTGACACAGTTGTACAGTACAGTACAGTCAAACTTGACCTACCTTATCATTGTTTAGTCCAGGACCTGAAAGTGAGCATCTACAGGGTTCTTCCCATTGATGGTCAGAACATCTTGAGGACATGCACTCATTACCTCAACTATATTCCGCAACGCCTCTAAAACTACATAGTTGCCTGGCTTCGTCTTTGGCTCTTCAGAGCCTCTTTCTCTTCAGCAGGCAGGGATGACGAGGTAGAAAGAGAGTGCAAAGTGTCCCAGAAGTTGTCTGTGCAGCTTTCGTGGTATCCATTGACACCCAGCTCACTGTACCGCCACCTATCGCACGCCGCAATCAAAGTATCATGCACACCAGGGCTTTTGTCCTCGACCAGTTTTACCATTGGCGCCCTTTTCTGACTAACCATCACATCGCCTAATTCAGGCGTAACTTTTAGCAACGTTGCGCGGCAGTAGCACATGGACATGTATTCGGGCGCACTAGCAGCGGCATTAGCCGCAGGCGAGTCGGTGGTTGCGTTTGGATAGAGTGCTGCTTCGACCTTGGAAGAGGCGGTCATGAGGGCTGAAGAGGGGAGCGCGAGTGCCCATGTGTCGACTACTTGGTTTCCGTGGGTATTTGTTATCTTAGTCTTCTTGCCAGCTTTGACTACTGTTGCTGCTCTACGGCGGGCGGGGATGGTCTGGATTGGAAGAGACATAACAGATACTTGACTTGTCGTTTCCGAACTCGATTGATCTTGGACAAGGACTTTGGGAAGTTAGGTGGGAGTAGGGGACCATGGAATGCCAATGCCTGAGATATATGTTCACGTCTGCCCCACTTGTGTTGCCATGTCGTATGCTGTGGGACAGGAAGATGGGAAGATAGGTTGTGGTGCTGCAATCCTGCACTGAATATATCAGTTCAAGATAGGCGGATTTGTCACAGCCTCAGGCAAGATTGACTATTATGCGTATTAATACCATTTTACGGGAAGAGCGCGTATCCAGCAGAAGTACACTATGAGGTCACTATCGGAGGTGCGACAACGCGTCCAGTGTGTTGTTCAGCGCAGAGGTGAATCCAGTATACATAGCGGACAAATGGTCTTCCAAAAGCAGTATTGCTGGGGTTTGCGGTGTGTTGAACAAGGTGTAGTAGGTCGTCGCTTGAAAGGTACCCAAATCATCACGTGTCAGGGACGTGGCCTGGGACATCCTTCGAACGGCCACCCTAGCATTCCCGAGCGCCGCAACCCAATTTATCCCCACCACAGCTCGACTCCTTTACCGCCAACCTAAATCGTTTCTGCCCAGTATTCACCATGGCCGCCCTCGCGACTAAAACACAGTCGCAAAACATTTTTACAAAATTGAAGTCAAAGCCCGCCAACAAAGTACGTATTCACACTAGTCAGCGCTTCCAACGACTCCTAATGCATGTCTAGATATGCTTCGACTGCGGCGCAAAGAACCCAACATGGAGCTCTGTGCCCTTTGGCATTTACCTCTGTCTCGACTGCTCGTCTAACCACCGTAACATGGGTGTCCATATCTCTTTCGTCCGTTCCACCAACCTCGATAGTACGTCTTCCCCTGGGCCCTGCGGGCGCTTGAAGCAAGGGGATATATATTGATCAAGGACAGTCTGGCAATGGGATCAACTGCGAATCATGAAGGTCGGCGGCAACGAGAGCGCGACCAAGTATTTTCAATCGCACGGGGGTTCCGCTGCGCTCGCGAGCAAAGACCACAAAGCCAAATACACTAGCAATGCCGCCAACAAGTACAAGGAGGAGCTGGCTCGGCGCTGCGTTGCAGATGCCAAATTGTAAGTCTATATCGAATTGTGCAGCGGCATAAACTGACCGTCTTGTGCCAGGTATCCTAACGAAGTTGTAATCACCGATGTCGTCGAGCCCGGTAGCGACGGAACCAATACCCCAGCCGGTGAAGACGATGACTTCTTTTCCTCTTGGGATAAGCCGACAATCAAGCGTCCATCAAACCCACCCTCGCGTACCGGTACACCTAAGGCTGCATCACCTTTCCTCAAGCCTGGTGCCAACGGCACGGATCGCCCGAAATCACCCCTTGCTGGCAGCTCCGAAACTACTACGCCGGCAGCAAAGCCTGCGGCAGTACGAAAGACCGCCGGAGGCGCTGCACCAAAGAAGAACATTCTGGGTGCAAAGAAGAAGGGTCTTGGTGCGAAGAAGGTGGTCGCTGCTGATGGCGGACTCGACTTTGAAGAGGCGGAGCGAAAGGCTCGTGAAGAGGCAGAGCGCATCGAGAAGTTGGGCTACGATCCTGACGCTGAGGCTGCAGAGGTCGCTGCAGCCACCAAGTCTAAGGGCTCTGAAGCATCCATCATCGCACCTACTCCCGTATCACCACCGCGTGGCGGCTTCGGCTCGACCTCCAAGCCTGAGCGCTCAAGTCAGGATATGGAACGGCTGGGTATGGGCGTTCAGCGTCTAGGATTTGGGCAAGTAGGCGCTGCAAAGAAGCCTGCTGCCCAGAAGAAGATGGGAGGTTTCGGCAGCGTAAGCAAGCCTGCTCAAGGTGACGATGAGAAGTATGCACGGGAGAAGTTTGGTACACAGAAGGGTATCTCAAGTGACGAGTTCTTTGGCCGCAATGCGTACGATCCTTCAGCCACTGCACAAGCGAAGGAGAGGTTACAAGGTAAGTGTGGCTTTGCAAGATTGAATATTGGGGTTCTGTTTTCTAACTCATCCTGCAGGCTTCGAAGGCGCGAGCGCGATTTCATCCAACGCATACTTTGGCCGCCCTGAGGACGATGCTGGAGAGGAGGACTATGGTGATCTGGAGACTGCCGCCAAGGACTTTGTCCGCAAGTTTGGTCTGACCGCTGGTGATGACCTCGAAAACCTGACCAACATGCTCGGCGAAGGTGCGACGAGGTTGCAAGGAGCTGTCCGGAACTACCTCAACTCGTAGAATAGGCGTTGAAAAGGTTTGATCGGAGCGTTCTCAGTGGGTGTTCGAGGAGTCAGGTGGACACATTCGATACCATACAGATCACGCACGTTGTATGGCAGCAGCAACATAGTCTCGGCGCATGGTGTATAAGAAGATGGGTTCTGAGAGAGGCGAAAACTATGAGTTGGCGGGGTTTACTTGGATTCACCTGTGTACGTATTGATCTTTTCCGCGCTGAAGACGATATGGGGGGTTTGGTCCAAGCGGTGTTCTGGGAGTACACATAAAGTAACGTTGGAAATCTTGATTGGAAATCTGAGTAATCTTGACCATTCCCTTTTCTCATTGACAAAAAAACATAATGCAAAAAAGCAGACCGTATCACTGTGTATCCTTGACTCCACAGCTCCAGCTAAAATACTCTGAAGAAAATGAAATACAGTCAATCAATTAATCATCCCTATCCCCCCAGACATCCGCCTCCTCCCTAGCCACAGCATCCAAATCAATAAAAACTCCCTTCCCACTTTCCTTCCCTGCACCTCCATCTTCCTCATCACTACTACTCTCACGCTCCTGTCTCGCCTCCTCCCGACTCATAGAACCCCACCCCGCATCTTCATCTTCGTCGTCGTCTTTCGCGAAACCAGGGGATACTGGGACGTAATCATCCATCAAGTTACTCGGCAGACCGGCTGGCACGGGGCGTTTGGAAGAGGAGGAGGGTGGGGAGGGTGTTAGGGGCATCATTGCCATTTCTGGGGGCTGAGATAGGTGGGGTTCTTTAGGGCTACTGGGTGGTGGTGTTGAAGCGCGGGGTTGATGGTGGGCTGGGGAATCGGGGTGTGGGATGTTGGACATTTCGGGTTGGGGGTCTTTGCCGCGCTTGGATGATGGGCGGTGTCCTTGTCGTGAGCTGGATTGGATGGCGGGTTGTGTGTCGATGCTTTGGGTCGCGGGGAGTTTGGCGTGGTGCTCCTGTTGATGTTGCTGGGAGAAGGGGAAGATGGAGAAGAGGCTGGAGCTGAGGCTGTGGCGGTTCGGTACGTTGGGTCTTTGTTCCTTTTTGAGTTCTTCTTGTCGTGGGTTTGGTGCTGTTGGGGGAGGTGCGGAGACGGAATGTGAGTGTGAAGGAACTCTTCGGATGGCTGCAGGGCTAGGGAGTTTGGTTATGGTAGTCTCGGGTAAGGATGCTTCGCACATCTCACAGGCGTAGAGGCTGGGATCGTTGAGGAACGTGCAGCGTGGGCATTGCTTCTTGAGCTCTGGTATTGATGGGCGTGGTGGCTCCGGGTTCTGTCCTGCTTGCTGTGGTCGAGGTGGTTGAGGCGGTGCTGCTGGCTCAGATTCGGTAGGCATCTGGTACCCTGGACTATATGTCTGTCTGGCTCTCGAATTGGATGGCGCTGTATCTCGTCTCTTGTTCCTGGAAGAAGCATCTCCACTTGCTACAGGGCCTGGGCTGGGATCAATAGAGACTACGACCTGCACATCTCTCTGTGTCCCACACTTCATGCACTGACACTGCCGCGTCACAGTCTTCGTATATGTATCGGTAGCCTCAGAAGGCGCGTTGAATCTGATTTCGAACTTACTGGGCTCTCCGAAACCTGCAGCACCCTGATCCTGCCTCTGCCAGTTCTTCGCATTTGAGTAGCCTGCTCCTTTTGCGACGATGGGGATAATTGGATCCACATTTCCGAATACCAAGTGATCTACAAATGGCAGAAGCATCAGGGTTCCGCTACTTTTGATGTGGCGATCGACTTCTTCGCGCACTTTGAAATCGTCCAACGAGTGCAGAACCCGGAAATACTTGTTGAACATGTCGCCATACCATTGTCGAACCTGGACACCCTGTTGCAGTAACTCTTTTGCAATAGTTCGCGGCGCAGGGCTGGGCCAAAGTGCATCAATCAAATGTTTCTCTTTCAAGGCCTTGCGGACCATCAAATCCAGCCTGGCACATTCGTACAGTTTCTTCTCCAGTCTTTCATGCAATTCATACTTGGCGAACCTAATCACCAAGCCTCTCACGAATCCAGCATCGAGATTCCATTTTCGTGTGAAGTAGTCCAGTGACTCTAGATCTTTCTGCGCCTGTGCGTTGGCAGGCCGGACCCTGAGTGGGGCGAGCTCATGGCCCATGGATATCCATCGGTCGGGTTGGTGCGGGAGGGCGGTTGCTGTAGACCAGAAAGATCGGATCGGATAGTATTCAGCTTTGAAATAATTGTAGATAAAGTCTAGAAAATCTGACTCTGTAAGCGGCAATGCTGCGTAGCCGGGAGGAAAGTCCATTGTAGAGGTTGACAATCCAGCTGGTGGCGAGAGCTCGAGTGGGTGTGGCGGGTATCGAGGTCACGAGTTTGGAGCTTCCAGCACTGTAGCTTGAGAAGCGCTTTGTGACGGCAATAAATTTAATTCAGAATATTGGCATGAGTGTGTACGGGGTCCCGGTTGCAGTACTGGCGGACCACACTATGTGAGTAATGTTGCTGCCTGGGTAGAACAGAGAAGGAAACACGTACAGTAGCCACACAAGTTAAGAACAGTGACGGTGCTGATTTACAGCTGCGCCACAGCATGTGACGATGTTATATGCGCTAGACGTGCTGCAGAAAGCTTTGGTGCACATCATGCTCTTGTGATGGGTTTCCTAGGACGTACGTCATCACTGTGGCGGTGGCGGTGCCTGGCCCTTCTTCCGCACCAAGCGCGCCTGGTTCTCGAAGCTCGACAGCTTTCACAGTCAGTCGAGGCTTAGACGTTTAACATTGCAATAGTAGCTTTCTCATACGGAAGTTTTGTGAGTGAATTATTTAATGGCGTGCTGGGTGCTCATTGTGTGTACGTAGAAATATAGGATAGGTATAGACAGGGCTCATCATATCTAAACATTCGTTACGAACGGGAGATAGCCCTACATTTAACCTTCATTTAATCAATTAGAGTGCTGAGAAGCTGTGATAGGGTCATCATTACTTGTGAAGCGTATGGGATTGCGCCACTGGACATTTTGGCCAAGGAATTAAACGCCCATGTTGGTAGAGTCAAAGACGAGATTGAAAAAAACACAGTTTCCAGACCCCATCAAATGGGATAAAATCCCGCTTCCGTTCAATACTAACTCTATGCGAAGGTGGTAGCATGGTGGCTTGACGAAGATATGCGCAAGGGGAACTGGGATTAAGGGGCCAGGAAGGGATAGCTGAATCGGGACTTATCACACAGATAGGTGTTCTCGATGAGCCTATCATGATCTCTCCTCAGATCAAAAGCCTTGAATTTCGGCTATTGATCTCGTCTATTCCTGAGATACAAGCGTTCGCCGGAAATGTCCCGCCATTCCGCAACGTGGAGAATGCAGGAATCAGACCACAAGATCTCGGCAACCCCACGCCGCATTGCTGCAAGTAAGTCGGTATCCGCAGATCTTCCACAGACGTAAAAATGACGGGTATAGTTCTCAATGGGGCTGGTAGCGGTAAACCATCGTCCTTAAACTTGGCTTGGTCCATCAGTTCGGTTATACAATTCTTTGGCCGTCCCTAATACCAACCTCAACCGCTGTCTCGGAGCTCGTGCAGTATGGCGTCTTTGGAAACATCATCTAAAGCTTCGTCTAAAGGCCATATCAAAATTCTACCTAAAGAGTCACAGAAAAGGTCAACGAGGTCAACAGAAGGTTTACAAATTGCAGAACCTGAACCATACCCTGAAGCTGTCAATCAATATTCCCCGAACCGCGATACCAAACTACCACAGCTACAAGACCAATCAGGCCCCGATGAAGTATCGATACATACCCGACCATCTCAAGAGCGCGTATCCTTCCATCCCGGACCATACAGTGATCAAGCTAGGTATGGACCTACTATCGAAGTTCCGCCAGATATGGTCAAGAAATTCTTTGCTCACCGCCGACGCAAGCTTTGGTTCATTGTTTTCTTCACACTACTTATAGTTGGCATCCTTATTGGCTCCAGTATAGGAGGTGCACTATATGTGCAAGACAAAGCCGAACAGTACGTTTGTTCTACTTTCTGCTTGACTTGTATCTTACTGCCTAATTTCTACTAGATCCACCCCTGGAAGAGAAGCTACCACTGATGTAGCAGATGAAGGTCCAACAACAAGCTCCACACTCACACCAGCGGAACCTTCTACTCGAATCCAACCCTCGGGTGCGGCATACGTTGCGCGACCATTTGGCACCATCCAATCGATCAACACAACATGTCCATCCACCCTACTCATATCCAGTCAACTCGAAGGCAAGAATTCGGAAATTAGTGGCCGCTACACCTACAGCTGCCTCGACAATACCAACATACTAGACAAACCCGACCTCATGGCTTTTACTGCATACACTCTTGAGCAATGCGTCGACGCCTGTAGCCAGTACAGCGCTATGAGCAACAAGAATGAAACATGCAAGGCGGTTGTAATCAACTCACAGTTTCGCGAAAAATACGAGACGGGATATGGGTCGAATTGCTGGCTGAAGGGTTCGGCGGATAATGCTAGTACTGGGAAATCGGGATACACGGCGGCAGTCTTACGTGAGGGGTGAATTAATAAACACATCACCCTAAGGAGATAGATTTGGTACTGTATACTTCTTGATGGTTGATCATATGTCACTAGAAAATCATTTGTCCGTCCAACCAGTTTGTCGTCGTGAAGTAACATTGAACTTATTTCGAACCATCGTCTCTTGATCATTGCTGCTTGCGCATTTGAACATGGCAAAATATATCTCTGTTGCTGCAGATGCAACTATCTAGCCTTTTGTTATCTGACGCAAAGCCTATTCCCTACTGCACTCTATGATTTTTGTCACCCGCGAACAGTAAATAAGATTTAACGGACGCTCTAGTAGTCTTGAATTTACTTTATCTTGTACATGTTGTCAAAAAAATGAAGAAAGGGTGTGAATACGATCAATCAATATTCAGCTATAGCTCACGGCAGTGTTGCAAATGCACCCCAGAACAAAATGGACGTATGATATGCCGATAAGAAGACTTCAAGTATATTCGACTCCACTGAGAAACAACGCTAGCAGTGACTAAAAAGAGCAAAAAGAGAATTTCCGACACCGGGAATCGAACCTAAAGGCGAATTAGAATGAGTGTTAGGATTAACTCGTGGTGATTGAACTTACCCGGGCCTTGCCGGCACTGAACAGTGAGCTGACTCTGCAATGAGAGCGGCAAATCCTAGCCACTAGACCATATCGGATATTGATGGAAGTCTGGATCTTTAAATATAATATATCATGATTGATATGGGTGATATAGCAAAAGAATGAAAGCACTAATGGAGTCAAAATTTTGCTATTAGAGCTACCAATGGTAGAATTTTCGGGAATTTTTGACTATGGAGTGGGCTACAACAAGCCACTGACGCCCTATCCTAGACTAACCCCACTTTCGGAAAATTTTGAACAACGAACCTTTGATACAGTACTGCGTCCAGCCGTGGAAAGACTACGATCATCATTTGAGTTGTAATTATGTAGCCTGAAGGTTATCTGTTCAATTTTGGGGTTTGCTCTACAGTGCTGCTCGTATAGTATTATATCCTGCAAGTCCAAGATGTTACTTGAGGGCCCTTGGCAAAGTTTTGGTAATACACCTTTTGTACTAGCATGGGTAGCAAACAGTTTTGTTTTGTGGCTGCGATTTCTTCTTTTTTGATCCGATAGAAAACCGGGGTTATTGGTTCTATTCAGTCTACTGAAGAACATACATGTTGTGCAAAACACCTGCAACACCGATATTAACTCTGTGAACACATTGCCCGTTCTTGTTCATCTTCTCTTTAGTAGACATGTTCCTTCTCCAATTTTACAAATGTCGAGGTACTTGGCATATTCTAGAAGATTTAATCAATTCACCAAACATCATATTCAAAGCATCATTTACACAATGTTTCATCACAGATCTTATCGGCATCACAGCAATCGAAAACAATCAAAATGACTCTTCAAATAATAGAAATTAATAATCTATTCATATACTCATAATGACATGAACCCCATTTCCCAGGCTACTCCTCTAATGTCCAACAACAGTAAAGCTATCATGAACCTTCAAGTCACGGCTGCTGAGGCCAACCCAGATGTTGAACTCGCCCTCGGGAATAACCCACTGCTGGCTAACAACATCCCAGTAGCTCAGATCCCTGCGCATAAGCTCAAAGCTGACGCTCTGGGTCTCACCCTCCTCAAGGTACACCTTCTCGAAGCCGCGGAGCTGACGCACAGGAGTGCCAGCAGGGGCGGAAGAAGGTAGGCCGACGTACAGCTGGGGCACAGCAGCGCCGGCGACGTCGCCGGTGTTGGCGACGGAGACGGTGACGTTGTAGATGCACTCCCAGAGAGCGGGGTTGCCACCGGGCTGGATGGGAAGGTCCTCGGGCTTGGAGGTGATGGCATCCTTGACAGGAGCAGATTTGATGTCGGAGATGGAGAAGGTGGTGTAGGAGAGACCAAAGCCAAATTCGTAGTGGACGGAGATGTTGTGCATGTCGAAGTGGCGGTAGTCAATCTCGAGCTTCTCATCGAACCAGCTCTGCCAGTCGTTGAAGCCGTCGGTTTGGATCTCGGTGGTGGGGGGCGCATTCCAGTCGTCACCGTTCTTAGCGATAGTGTAGGGGAGGTGGCCAGAGGGGTTGTAGTCGCCGTAGAGGATGTCGACGAGGGAGTTGCCGGATTCTTCACCGGGGAAGTGAGCGGCCAGGATGGCGGTGACGTTGGGGTGGTCAGACCATGGTAGGGTGTTGATGCCGGAGGAGTGGGTAACGACGACGGTGTTGTTGCAGAAAGATGCAACAGACTCGACAACTTTGTCGCCGTTCCAGTCAGATCCAAGGTGATAGCGGTCATCACCCTCCTCGGCCCAGGTCTTGAGCATGACAATGCAGACATCTGGTACATCGCGTGGGATGACGAGGGTGCTGACATTGTTGTTGATGATGTGGGTGTTGTTCAGGAAGTACTGAACAATGCCACGGTCTTCCCTAACACGCTGCTGGATAGCGGTGAGGGGCGTGATCACGTAGGTGTTCTGGCCGGTACCAGAGCCACCACCAGCAAAGATGGCGCCGTACTCGTAGTTTTGCTGGTTAAGGACAGAGCTACGAGCAAGCTCACTGGCGCCGTTACCGAAGACTGCAACGTTGCGGGGTGCCTTGAGAGGCAGGGTACGGTCCACGTTCTTCAACAGGACAGTGCCAGCGGCACCGTGTCGACGGATCAGCTCGGCGTGGTTGCCACGAACATCACGGCTCTTCTCGCCAGTAAGGTTGAACTCGCGGGTCCAGCTTTTTCGTGGAGAGAAAGTGTTGAGATCAGCAGAGGAAGGGTCAACGGAGGGGAAGTCGTTGTCCTGGCCGAGCTGGAAGTAGGGAGTCATGATACGGAGGACCATGTCGTCGATGCGGGACTCGTTGACAGTGCCGTTGTTAACAGCAAGAGTGATGTTGCCGCCAAAGTAAGATGGGACACCAAAGTTCAAACCGTAAGCACCAAGTCCACCAGGCATGTTCATGTCAAGACCAGCCTCGATAGAAGCAACACCCGAGTGGGTCGCACCCCAGTCGGACATGACGTATCCTTGGAAGCCCAACTCACCCTTGAGCAGACCGTTCTGTGAAGCAGAGTTTTGGCATCCGTAAGATCCATTGATTCTCTGGTACGAGCACATGATGCTAGCAGCGCGGGCCTTGATAGCGTTGGCGAACGGCCACATGTAGAGCTCGTGCATGGTGCGGTCATCAATGTTGGATGAGATAGCAGCTTGCGCTTGTTCGGTGTTGTCGTCCTTGCGGTAGGTAGGGTTACGCATGATTTCCTGCTCGTTGCCAATCCAGTGTTTAGGACAAGCCTGTACACCTGCATCTTGAGATGCCAGGATGGTCTTCTCCATAGCTACACCACTGAGATAAGGGTCTGAGGAAAAGCCCTCCCAGTTACGGCCGGCATAGGCGGAACGTCCAAGTGGTCCTGCGACAGGACCCAAGAAGACGTGAGCACCCTTTGCCCTGAACTCTTCGCCCATGGCGTAGCCGCGCTCATACATGAGTTCCTTGTCCCATGAAGCACCAGCGGATACACCGGCGGAGAAGACGCTTGCGTAATCAGCCACGCGAATGGCAAGAGGGCCATCGTGAAGGCAAAGACCAGGGAAGCCCAGGCGGGGAATGGCAACGATGTTGCCAACGCAAGGGCCGGCTTGACCAGTGACCATGTCAGCCTTTTCTTCTAGAGTGAGTTGAGCCACGAAAGCTTTTGCCTTCTCAAGACCCATCTCCCAGCCTCCAGCACCAGAAATTTTCGCTGCACAAGTTATTAGACATGTCCGACGATCTAACAATCATCTCTAGGAAAACTTACGTGAAGGATATACAGCCGGCGAGGAGCCATACTCGGTCAGGATGGTAGTGTTGAGCGGCTGGACGTAACTGAACGCATCTTCACCGCGACCACCACCTCCGAAGTTCTGAGCACTGACTGCAGCCAAGAGGGCAGAGCCCGAGAGCACCTTAGATACGACAGAGGGCGCCATGATTCCAGATAGTCGAAGGTGAATCGAAAGCCTGAATACCCATGATTGCAGTTGCACTGAGGCACTTATATAGCACCATTGCTCCTTCGCCCCCGGACCAAAGTCGCCCGCCGGTACCACTTTACAATCCAAGACTGACACGTTCAGAGGCCCACGATGCAAGCATTCTAAGGACCGAAGTTTACCCGTCCGAGCTGTGGAGTCTCCGCAAACTCGCTCCATACCATGTTCATAATGCTGTTGCCAATAACGACGTCATGGATTGGTTGCGGAGTGACTGCCAAGATGGCGGTTCGACAGTTTTGCGCTTCGGCAGATGCATGTGGAGTCCATCCGAGTAAGAGTCGGAGTGCAGAGCCGCATGACTCGTGTGGATTTGCGGGGATCGTGACAGTGGGGTGAATGACTCGGTCCGACCAACAAGTCTGTAATCGCGTCATAGCCATGTTCTCGGTAGCTCGCTCCGAGCCGCAAGAATTACCTACTGCTTTGAACCCAGTTTTCTTTACCACGGCGCTGGAAGATGTTTGAAACTTAGTACAGGCTTACTTACGCCATGGGAAAGCCATGATTCCCATGGTCTGTTACTACAACAAAGCTTGTGCTCGGGATAACTTGTCTCTCATGACAACGCAGCTTCTCTACGCAAGGCCCCAGCTTTTCATCCACCGCCGTGGAGTGGAGCGGGGTGAAGAAAACATGCTCGTATCGCCGAGTAGAAGTCCCGACGGGTACTGCAGGATACGTGCCTTCGTCACGAGGCCTGCAGGGAAGTTGAAGATTCTTGCAAGAATCGATCCAAGCGTCGGGAAGCGTTATGTGCTTTCAGCATACGCTACGCTTTTCTAGGCAATGCGTCCTGCTCAAGTCCCCAGTATCCACCTTTTATCACATAGGGATCGGCTCCAGAACTCCACATAGACGCACTACCTTGGCTGGCTTCCCCGCAATAAACATGGCTTGGCCCGAAGTTGAGCCTCGGACGCGGTTAGGATTGTCAGTTCGAGCGTTAGTCTCTGGATGAAAGAAAAGTCTTCGACGTCTTCTAGACAACGA